CCCGAGCGCCCGCCCCCTCTGTGTCTATACCTCCCTCGGTGCCCTCCCCCTCCCCGTGTCTATACCTCCCTCGGTGCCCTCCCCCTCCGTGTCTATACCTGCCACAGTGCGTCTGGCCTGGTCACCAGCCTCTGTTGCAGGACATGCCCTGGTGACGGAGATGAGTCCCTCAGGTATCAGGTGCTCACATGGTGGCGTGGGGGGTTTGGTCTGTTCAGTCGTCGTGCTCCCTGCTCTGTGGTTTCCAGCAAAGGGACGTTGGCTGGACACTGTCCCCACTGCTGCTGTCAGCAGAGGTGCCTAAGCAGGTACACATGACAGTGTGCCGAGTGAGGAGGCTCTCGCCTGGACCTACGGCGTCCTTACCGCCGGATAGTCAGAGGTCACCGCATACTCCCCTGCGTGGGCGGTAACCGCCGTTGGAGGGCTGTGTCCACTCACGTTTTCTTACACCTTGGACCTGGTCCCTGACGCTCAGCGCCACCAAGTCTGTTCTGAAGCTGGGACGGTGTACGCAGGTGGCTGAGGCCCTCGGGGCCCTGACTCTGCTGGACCCGGGCTGGTGCGTGGGTGCCCGCAGCCACAAGACGGACGGACCCGGCCATGGAGATGTCTGGATGGACCCGGCCACAAAGACGGACAGACCAGGCCACAGAGACGGACGGACTGGGTCACAGAAGAGCTCTTCACACAGCAGCACACAGTGGCCGTCCAGGGAGGCACAAGTGCGCATGTCTGACGTGGAGTTAGATGTGAGGACAGCAGGCAGGGAGCAGGCCGGCCCCTGGGAGCAGCAGGGACTGCGAGGGGTGGCAGGGGCCATGAGCCCAGCCACGCGACTGACATCCACACGCGCAGCTCACGGTCAGGGAAGTCATTTTCCTGCAGCAAGCGAGGGGCCCCCCCCACGGCTTCCACTCCTGGTGAGACTCGGGGGGTGCTGAACCCGTGGAGAGAGAAAGCAGTGTAGAAGTCGTGGGTAACTGGGGGATTTCCGGGGAGCGTTATGCTGTTTAGTTGAAGAAGGATTTGTATTCATGCCCCTAACCGATGCTGGAGTCATGGGTAACGGTGCTCGACGGAAAGGTCACTACAGTGAGTCACTTTCTGCGTCATCAGGGTCTTCTCTAGAACAAGCGGCTTCTGGATGTGTGTCTAAGACTGTGTGCAGCTGAAGGGCGCCTTCCCTGGCTCAGAGCTGGCTGAGTGTGGTGGGGTCCCCACCTAAGGAGCGGGCACTCAGGGGCATCTGGAATTTTCATCTGCGTGTTGGTCAGGGTCATAGATAATGTTTCCATTTGTGAAAACGTGGGTCCCCACTTTGTATTCTAGAGCAAATGTTTTGTCACAATGGAAAGAATGCTTTAGGCAGAGTTGGTTCTTAAATCTTTCTTTATTTTTTTTTATGAGGTGTTTGCTACAGGGCGTGTGCACTCACCAGAAAGACAGAGAGAGACAGAGAGAGACAGAGAGACAGAAAGCGAGAAATCACCACCCAGGGGGATGGCCACGCCGCAATCCCTTCTCCTCCATCCTCCTATCGGGATCTTGGGCACGCACGCACACGCTCCCAGCCTGAGTTTAAGCCGCTGAGTCCGGGACACGAACCGCGGTCGACTACGTGGGAGTCCAGCGACATAGCCATTATGCTAACTGCTGGTTCCAGAGCTGCGGTCTTGTAAAGTACTGGGTCCCTGGAAAAGTCATGATGTACTTTTGTGTGTGAGAGTTTTTTTGCTATGGAGTACATGTGTTCCCTGGAGACAGGGGGATACACAGAGAGAGAAGTGAGAAACCACCCCCGGGGCACGGCCACACGGCAGCGCCTTCTCCTCTGTTCTCCTCTCAGGATTTGGACACACACACAAAGCCTGGCATGACTTTCAAGGACTGAAACCAGCCAACAAAGTGAGAGTTCAGTACCTAACCACTACACCACCCACTGGCTCCTTGACACGTTTTTGCCTAGAAAAATAGAAAAAAATGGGCGGGTGAAGGAGTAGAGCTTGAGGAAGGACATTAAGGAGAAAAAGAGAGAGGAAGGCATTTATGGGACAAAGAAATGGATTATTACCTGTTGAAGACAGCTTTCTAGAATGGTGAACTGGACTGGTGAGAAGTGTGCACATGTTGAATATTCACTTCCAAGCTAAGTAACGTGATTGAATGTACAAAACAAAGAGAAATCAAAAGAAAAATAGAAAAAATACGTCATGACTTCTCCAGCGACACAGTAATTTTTCATGGCTATTCTCTCGTAAAATCCACGCCGTATCTGAACAATGTCATGAAGTAAATGATGCTGCTGAGTTTGTGTTCTCTGTGCTGTTACTGTTTCGGTTAGTATTTGCCGTTTGGCGTTCAGGAAGTGTCGGGATAAGTTAGTTTTATGTAAAGATGTGTTGGATATGCAGAACTTAACACGTGCAGCCTGGCTTCACGACTGTGCCCTCCTCTAGGTTGACCACTCCCGCCAGTCCCCGTGCCGAGCCGCTGGGCTGGAGCTAAAGGACAGCACGACCCAGCCGTAGGAAGCCGAGTGGGCTGCCGAGGGGCCGACGTGGTGGCTCTGGCTCCACCCAGGAGAGACGCTGGAATCGGGGGCCAACGGGTGCCTCTGCAGGTCATCAGGAGCGTTTTAGAAAACGGAATCGTAGTCTCCTTTGTATTCCTAAATCAAGGAATATAGTCGACAAAACGTTTTTATTCAAACCTGCATCTCTCCGCCCCACGACACCTAACGGATTATTACCCAGCCTCTCAGAATGTGAACTCGAAGGCTGTCTGAGGAGCCATTTCGATACAAGTAAATTCAACATAGAGGATACTCTAGAGCTTGCACCTTGAGGAAGAGCTCCCAAATAAACTTCGCTCTTGAGTCATATTCTTTCATTACATGAAAGGCACTTAATTTTTGGTTAAAAAAAAGAGAGGTAGAAAGAAAGAAAAGACACACACACACAAATCAGCCTCGAAGATTCTCATTCCAGCGTCCTGTGCCTCAAATATCTCTCGAAACGGCAGCCATGAAGATGTGCTATCATGTTATCAGATGCTTTCACATGGGACTCTCAGGCCTGGACAGAGGCGACACTGACGTGGATAAAAGATTCGGATAATAGCAACCCTGATGATGACAACAGCACGGAATGTGACTACCTGTCACAGAGGATAGAAGCCACCCCTGAGCAGGGGACGCACCTGCAGAGCCCAGGGAGGTGGCATGCCCTGAGACTGCCATTGGAATCGCCACGCTGGCACGACCCAGTGGAGAAGCCCCTTCTCTGAGACCACGGGAGGCAGGGCTGTGTGCGCTGCTAATAGTCAGGTAGGAAATTTAAGACATTAAAAAGCCCCTTGTAGTCAATGACATTTTACAGCGGGGTAAACTAGTGACTGATGCTCTGTGGAGTTAATTTACCTCACATGAGCAAGCACTTTACAGCCATCGAATTGCTCGTCTGCTGTGGAATCGCCTCCTTATGTTCTGCTTAATAGGATCAAGGTGAGAGGGTGAGTGAGCTCAGCCCCGGGGACCGCAAGGTCCCCTGATCCCGATGGGGCTGAATCAGAGAGAATGGGGGCTGCGAACCCTCGGCTGTGCGTCTCCCGAGCCCGCGTGCGATGTCTCCCCCTGCGACGTGTGTGCTGCCCACTCACACGGAGCGCACGACACGTGGCCCGGCTGCCCTGAAGGTCACTTTGGAGCTCCTCATGCTGACAGTTCAGGACGCAGTAAGGCAGGGTTCTTCGCTGGCCGAGGAACAAGTGCTTCTGATAGGGCAATGCGAGGGCGAGCCCGCGTGTGAGCTAGGCTGGGTCGCAGGGTCAGGGCGTGCGAGGCGAGCCCGCGTGTGAGCTAGGCTGGGTCGCGGGGGCCCCGGGTGAGTGGCGAGACCCCGT